CCCATTCTCTGATGGAGAGCTCAGCTCAGCACCACAGCAGGCCTTGTTCACCCTCACACTCTTCAAACAGCTCCACACACACACACACACACACACTTGTTCGTCCACCCTCACACTTCCAGTAGCTCAGAAAGAAAAGAGTCCCTCTTGTCACGGACGTGTTGATCTCTTTGTGTTATGAACTAAGTGCCGGCAACGATGAGACTGCTCCTCCATTACATGACAACACCAAATACCACATGACTCACACACACAAAGAGACACACAGACACACACACAGAGACACACACACACAGAGACACACACACACAGAGAGACACACACAGAGACACACACACACAGAGACACACACACACAGAGACACACACACAGCGAGACACACACACAGAGAGACACACACACAGAGAGACACACACACAGAGAGACACACACACAGAGAGACACACACACACAGAGAGACACCCTTCAGTGCTCCACAGCTGTTCTTTGTTTCCTCACCCTTAAAGGGTCAGAGGTCGCTACAGACCCACAGTTCACCAGTTCAACAGTTTTGAGTCCCAAATGGCACCCTATTCCTTATATAGGGCACTACTTTTTACCAGAGCCCTATGGGCTGCTCCTATGGGCCCTGGTCTAAAGTAGTGCACTATATAGCGAATAGGGTGCCATTTGGGACGCGGAACAGTTCACCACTCCAGGACTACTATACTACTGGGTCAGACGAGGCCCAGTTCACCACTCCAGGGCTACTATACTACTGGGTCAGACGAGGCCCAGTTCACCACTCCAGGACTACTATACTACTGGGTCAGACGAGGCCCAGTTCACCACTCCAGGGCTACTATACTACTGGGTCAGACGAGGCCCAGTTCACCACTCCAGGACTACTATACTACTGGGTCAGACGAGGCCCAGTTCACCACTCCAGGACTACTATACTACTGGGTCAGACGAGGCCCAGTTCACCACTCCAGGACTACTATACTACTGGGTCAGACGAGGCCCAGTTCACCACTCCAGGACTACTATACTACTGGGTCAGACGAGGCCCAGTTCACCACTCCAGGGCTACTATACTACTGGGTCAGACGAGGCCCAGTTCACCACTCCAGGGCTACTATACTACTGGGTCAGACGAGGCCCAGTTCACCACTCCAGGGCTACTATACTACTAGGTCAGACGAGGCCCAGTTCACCACCCAGGACTACTACTGGTAGGACGAGGCCGTTCACACTCCAGGCTACTATACTACTGGGTCAGACGAGGCCCAGTTCACCACTCCAGGGCTACTATACTACTGGGTCAGACGAGGCCCAGTTCACCACTCCAGGGCTACTATACTACTGGGTCAGACGAGGCCCAGTTCACCACTCCAGGGCTACTATACTACTGGGTCAGACGAGGCCCAGTTCACCACTCCAGGGCTACTATACTACTGGGTCAGACGAGGCCCAGTTCACCACTCCAGGACTACTATACTACTGGGTCAGACGAGGCCCAGTTCACCACTCCAGGGCTACTATACTACTGGGTCAGACGAGGCCCAGTTCACCACTCCAGGGCTACTATACTACTGGGTCAGACGAGGCCCAGTTCACCACTCCAGGACTACTATACTACTGGGTCAGACGAGGCCCAGTTCACCACTCCAGGGCTACTATACTACTGGGTCAGACGAGGCCCAGTTCACCACTCCAGGACTACTATACTACTGGGTCAGACGAGGCCCAGTTCACCACTCCAGGACTACTATACTACTGGGTCAGACGAGGCCCAGTTCACCACTCCAGGGCTACTATACTACTGGGTCAGACGAGGCCCAGTTCACCACTCCAGGGCTACTATACTACTGGGTCAGACGAGGCCCAGTTCACCACTCCAGGACTACTATACTACTGGGTCAGACGAGGCCCAGTTCACCACTCCAGGACTACTATACTACTGGGTCAGACGAGGCCCAGTTCACCACTCCAGGGCTACTATACTACTGGGTCAGACGAGGCCCAGTTCACCACTCCAGGGCTACTATACTACTGGGTCAGACGAGGCCCAGTTCACCACTCCAGGACTACTATACTACTGGGTCAGACGAGGCCCAGTTCACCACTCCAGGACTACTATACTACTGGGTCAGACGAGGCCCAGTTCACCACTCCAGGGCTACTATACTACTGGGTCAGACGAGGCCCAGTTCACCACTCCAGGACTACTATACTACTGGGTCAGACGAGGCCCAGTTCACCACTCCAGGACTACTAGGGATGTAGCTCAGTTGGTAGAGCATGGCGTTTGCAACGCCAGGGTTGTGGGTTTGATTCCCACGGGGGGCCAGTATGATTTTTTTTTTTTTAAGTATACACTCACCTAACTGTAAATCACTCTGGATAAGAGCGTCTGCTAAATGACTAAAATGTAAATGTAAATGTATACTACTGGGTCAGACGAGGCCCAGTTCACCACTCCAGGACTACTATACTACTGGGTCAGACGAGGCCCAGTTCACCACTCCAGGGCTACTATACTACTGGGTCAGACGAGGCCCAGTTCACCACTCCAGGGCTACTATACTACTGGGTCAGACGAGGCCCAGTTCACCACTCCAGGGCTACTATACTACTGGGTCAGACGAGGCCCAGTTCACACTCCAGGACTACTATACTACTGGGTCAGACGAGGCCCAGTTCACCACTCCAGGACTACTATACTACTGGGTCAGACGAGGCCCAGTTCACCACTCCAGGGCTACTATACTACTGGGTCAGACGAGGCCCAGTTCACCACTCCAGGACTACTATACTACTGGGTCAGACGAGGCCCAGTTCACCACTCCAGGACTACTATACTACTGGGTCAGACGAGGCCCAGTTCACCCACTCCAGGACTACCCTACTACTGGGTCAGACGAGGCCCAGTTCACCCACTCAGGACTACTATACTACTGGGTCAGACGAGGCCCAGTTCACCACTCCAGGGCTACTTTACTACTGGGTCAGACGAGGCCCAGTTCACCACTCCAGGGCTACTATACTACTGGGTCAGACGAGGCCCAGTTCACCACTCCAGGGCTACTATACTACTGGGTCAGACGAGGCCCAGTTCACCACTCCAGGACTACTATACTACTGGGTCAGACGAGGCCGAGTTCACCACTCCAGGACTACTATACTACTGGGTCAGACGAGGCCCAGTTCACCACTCCAGGGCTACTATACTACTGGGTCAGACGAGGCCCAGTTCACCACTCCAGAACTACTATACTACTGGGTCAGACGAGGCCCAGTTCACCACTCCATGACTACTATACTACTGGGTCAGACGAGGCCCAGTTCACCACTCCAGGACTACTATACTACTGGGTCAGACGAGGCCCAGTTCACCACTCCAGGACTACTATACTACTGGGTCAGACGAGGCCCAGTTTCACCACTCCAGGGCTACTATACTACTGGGTCAGACGAGGCCCAGTTCACCACTCCAGGACTACTATACTACTGGGTCAGACGAGGCCCAGTTCACCACTCCAGGACTACTATACTACTGGGTCAGACGAGGCCCAGTTCGCCACTCCAGGACTACTATACTACTGGGTCAGACGAGGCCCAGTTCACCACTCCAGGACTACTATACTACTGGGTCAGACGAGGCCCAGTTCACCACTCCAGGACTACTATACTACTGGGTCAGACGAGGCCCAGTTCACCACTCCAGGACTACTATACTACTGGGTCAGTGGACGGAGAGGCAGAGAAAGGGAAAGAGGGAGAAAAGGAGAGAATATGAATATTTACAGCTAATTAACAGAGAGATCACGGTATTGATGCATTCAGGCTGTCTCCTGGCAACGCAGGCTTTGATATATCTCAGAGCAGGGATGGAGAGGGAGAGAGAGAGAGACATCGAGACAGAGAGAGAGAGAGAGAGAGAGATGCTTCCTCCTCTGGCCTTAGCACCGTTAGACACACACTTTCTCTCTCTCTCTCTCTGTCTTTCTCTCTCTCACACACACACACACCCTCTTTGAGTGTTAGTAACATGACTAGTAAACAGGCCCTCCTGTTAGAGCTCATATGGACGGAGGCTTCAGTGAGAGCAGACCGAAAGGTGAAGTATAGCATGCGTAGAACTGGGCTGCATCACAAATGTCACCCTATTCCCTTTAAAGAGCCCATCAAAAGTAGTGCACTATATAGGGAACACGGAGCCATTTGGGAACGCACCCCCTGATCAATACATTTCAGCTGGTTTTGATTGCAACAGTGATTTTTCACTAGTCTGATTAGACCAGGGGTGTCAAACGTCCGGCCCGCGGGCCGGATCAGGCCCGCAAACGGGTTTAATCCTATGGAGGACTAAAAGTGCCACAATTAAATAAATAAATACACCATTAAATAATTACTTAAATGTGTCATTAATTAATTCAAATTAGAATTAAATACATAAATGTGTAATTAAATGTATCATTAATTAATTCAAATACCGATTCATTTTATGTAAAATACATATATAATTATTTCACTATTTACATTTACATTTCATGATCCTGCATTGCAGTGATTCATGAATTACTTAAAACTGTCAAACTGACCCATCAAAGTCAGTGGGCGGGGCTAACGCGAATCTAGTCTGATCCATTGCTTTGGTCTGAAGTAGAGTAGGCCAACCTGGATAGAGACAATGGAGGATCTCCGTGAACTTTCCAGGGAGTTGGTTAGAGACATTTTAAACTTAGCAGAGGATGTAGAAGCAGGACCTGCTGACCCAGAGCATGTAGCTAGTAAAGCAGAGGAACTTATTGAAGTTGTTGGAGTCATTTCCGCACTTTCCGACGAAGATATCGACCACAGAGTGATTGCAAAACTAGAAGAAGTTGTCCACCGCTTCTCTGGTACCAGGGCACTTCAGGCCCAACACACACAGGGACCGGGGCGTTTGGCGTTTGACATACCGAGTGCAGTTCTGGAGCATCAACTTCTTTGTGGAGTTCCCGCAGTTCAAATTGCAGCGATGTTCGGTGTGTCAAAGAGGACCATCAGGAGGCGCATGCAACAATACAGTTTAAGGTATTTACACTAAATTCATGAGTTTTCTGTTTATGAATTGCTGCTCTCATACACTCGGAAAGAATATGACGTTTAAGGTAACATTACTTGATGTTGTGTTTTTCTTGTTTGTACAGAAAGACAGATCTCTATTCAGCTGTGAATGATGAGGAGTTAGACCGTATTGTAAGTGAAATTCACAGAAGTCATCCAAACACCGGCTACAAGCTAATGCGTGGTCACCTGAATGCAAGAGGTGTGCATGTTCCAAGTGAGTAGATAATAATATGGGCATTATTTAAATGTATTTTTAATTTGGAGCTCTGCCCCTTTGAAAGGTGAAGGAAGCCCGCTTATGGAAAGACATCGCCTCTGAGATGTAGAATGTGTAGAAGAAATGTGAAGAGAAACACACATTTCAGGACGGCTGACTTGTATCATCAGGATAGACATGTCCTGTGATTTTTAGCCTCCTGTTTAATAGAGGTGGAACAATATCTGACAGTAATATTCTCAGCTGTCCGGATGTGCCCCTGCTGTAAAGGGTATAATATAATCATAGAAAAGCAAAATATCATAGGAGGCAAAAAATCTCAGGTCATCTCTGTTCGAGCATGTGGTATCTATCTATCTATCTATCTATCTATCTATCTATCTATCTATCTATCTATCTATCTATCTATCTATCTATCTATCTATCTATCTATCTATCTATCTATCTATATATGTGTGTATATATATGTATATGTGTATATATATGTATATATATGTGTGTATGTATATATATATATATATAAATATATATATATATATATATATATATAAATATATGTATGTATGTATATATATGTATGTATATGTATGTATATATATATAAATATATATATGTATGTATGTATATATGTATGTATATGTATGTATGTATGTGTGTATATATATATATATATGTATATGTATATATCATTTTATATATGTGTATATATATGTGTATGTATATATATATATATACATATATATATATATATATATATATATATATATATATATATATATATATATATATATATATATATATATATATATATATATATATATATGTATGTATGTATATGTACAATATCTGACAGTAAAGTACATTTTTGAAGCTGTGGTGGTTCTGTAATAGTTGACTGTTTTACACACATTATTTATTTTATTATGACACCACTATATCCTCAAAATAAGTAGCCAGTGAGTGTGTGGTTATTCATTTTAAATTCCTCCCCTCAGTCTCAAGACTGCAAGAGTCTTTACGCAGAGTCAATGCAGAGGGAGTCTACATGAGACGTCTGAGGCTGCGTGTATTAAGGCGACGGCAGTATTTTGTTCCTGGCCCAAACTCTTTGTGGCATATAGATGGCCACCATAAGCTTATCAGGTCAGTGATATTAGCAGATAAACAATGCATCTTTCTATATGTTTCATTACAATTGTTATACAATAAAGTTATATTTTTTCATGTGTTTGCAACAGGTGGAGATTTGTTGTCCACGGTGGGGTGGATGGATTCAGTCGTTTAGTGGTCTACCTGACTGTGGCCGGCAATAATAGAGCTCATACGGTCTTACAGAGCTTTATCGCCGCTGTTGAGCAGTATGGGCTGCCATCAAGGGTACGGTCTGACAAAGGGGGGGAGAATGCAGATGTAGCAGAATTCATGATCAGAAGCAGAGGTACCGACAGGAATTCACACATCACAGGCAGAAGTGTCCACAATCAGCGGTAAAGAAATATGTTTGGCAACTAGGCTCACACAACTAACATACTAGTTGAATGTACTTTAGCATATGTCATAAATTAACAATTTCTCAATTTTATCCTAAACACAGAATAGAGAGGATGTGGAGAGATGTTTATGAACATGCCCTGGACCTCTTCTATCAGATCTTTACTTCATTGGAAGATCAGGAGACACTGAATCCAGACAATGAAGTCCATCTTTTCGCTCTGCACCGGATTTTCCTTCCACTGGTTCAGCAAAGCCTCGACTCTTTTCGAGATGCTTGGAACTTCCACGGTCTTAGAACTGAAAGGAATCAGTCACCACAGCAACTCTGGAGAAGTTACAGAGAGCAAGGCCCTGAGGAGGATCCTACTGAGGTTAACAATGAACTTTAAACACTTTCTTAAAATTGTTTCCCCAAAGGAATTATGGGAGAAAAAAATGGTGCTAAATGTGATACTTTAAATGAAACATTTACTATAGATTATTGTCTCTTTAAAATCTCCCGAGCTTTTAAAGATCAACCTGTGAGCTGTAGTTTCTACAGTGCATACTATGCAAAGCTGTATTATTTTAAAAAACTGAATAAGTAACATTTCATTTCTCACTGCCTTGGTGACCAAAAATAACAATCTTGTGTAAGGACATGTCAAACTAGTTTTAAGTACAAGACTGATTATGCTTGTCATCCATTCAGGTTCCTGAAGAATATGGGATCGATTGGAACGGACCTCACTGCCTTCATCGAGGCACTGTGTCAGTCCCCGAGGTTCAGCTGGCCCGTGAGCTCTCAGATGAAGAGGTTGCAATTTTGCCAGCTCCAGGAGTTTCTGTTACTGATGCACTTAGACTATATGTAGAGACTGTGGAAGTGTTATCAAGAATCTTAGACTGATGTCCAACCCATGTTTTTATTTGTTGTGTTAGAACAAGCAAGGAAAAACTGAAAGTTTACTTTCCTTTTAAAAGAAAGGAAAAAAAAGCTGTTTCTTTGAAGCTTCCTGTCTCATTATGGTCCACAGAATGACTAACAGGAATGCTGTACTGTTAGCACTGAAGGTGCAGAACAGTTTGATTTTAGTAAATGGAAGAAAAAAAAGTCAACTACTGCACAGTGTGTTAATGTTTTCAAAGACACTGAACTTGTGTCAATTCATCTGAACTGTGTATGCATTGACATTAGGGCTGGGCAATATGGAGAAAATCAAATATCACATTTTTGACCTAACACCTTGATGTCGATATTGCAACGATATTGTAAGGTTGACAATTGGTGCATTCACAAAATATCTTCCACATTTAGATTTCGGATAAATAACTATCATATTGTGGATATAATGACTAAGTGGTAAAAGGCAAATAATAGAACAGCTAGAACAGTCTGGTAAGTTCAGAAAATGACATCACTTTACTGTAATGCAGCCTTTGAAACCAGGAAAAGACCAGGTTTCCCAGTTGCATGTTCCCTTAGCAGATTCTCTTTGAAAACTTTGGCAGCTTGAGTGGGTTCTTTAATAAGCTTCCATTCTAAACAAACAACAACAATAAAGTTATCTATTACAGAGAGACATATTGTGAGTTGGCATGTTACCTGCATATACAGATATCCTCTCACTCTACAGAACAGGAGGAAAATTCTGTTCATTTCACTGACAAAACGTGAGACCCAACATCTTCAGAACCTGTCACAACGCTGAGTTGACATAAAAACAGCACTACTAAACAACTACAACTAAATATTAGAAAAAATAGAAAAACCCAGTTGCATGTTATTAATTGTCTGTAACTGTATTATCTTATCTAATTATATCCTACAGGTGTTATCTTTCTATTAACTTTTCAGTTACACACAATCTTATAGCAACACTATTGTGATGACACAAACCACTGTCTGTTTCTTTGCGATCCAACTCCTCGTTGACAATCACTGCCGGTACTACTGCACTCTCAGCTGATGTTTCAGGCCTCACTGGAACACTGTCACTGACTAGGGCTGTCTCACTATCATTTTCTTCACTTTGGCCTCCCTCTTGTTCTCTTTCTGATTCCTGCATGGGTGTCCTTGAAGTTAACACAATTGAAATGATGGTCATACTCGCTTATTTGTGTGCACAACAATAAGAGAGACATATTCCCAAAGAAAATAAATTATGCTACCCTTGCATTGCTTTAAGAAGTACATACCCATTGCAGCTCAATCTGTGCAGCTTCATCTCTGAAAAGGGAACTTCCTTCTGACAAGTGATGCAGGGGATGACTGGACCAGAGGCAGGACGTGAGCTCTCCTAACAACAACAACAAATGGCTTTTAATTAATGATTAAAAGTCACCAGTAATCTTTGTTTTGATTATGTATTAAACTAAGTCTCTGTAAATGTATGTACACAATCTAAGGGTAGATCCTGTTGAAGTGGACGTATGTAGATTGTAGCCTGTCCAATCATCGTCGATGGATCTTTCAGATAGGCAAGGGTGTATCCAGTGCTGGGACACTGAAGCAACGCAAGATTTCGACTGCGAGTAGATCCTACAAGTTTTAGAAATTCAAAGCCTCCCCCTTGTTGGAGCTTCGGAAACACTTCCATCAGTTTATTTGTTATAACCATGGGATCGTGGTCATTCCCTGGAGAAAAAAACAAAACAAAATCATAACTCACCTCACCTTAAATTAAGCAAATAAGCCTGTGATAACTATTATTGACACTATGAACACCAATTAAGTTTGAGTCACTATAAAAAGAAATGCAAATAATTTCAACAAGCCACAGACAGTACAAACTTTTTTTACTTTTGGTAAATGCCTAGTTTCGCACTGACCTGAAAATGTTACTTTTTGCTCTCCAAGTCCTGAAGTAAGAAGTTCAGCTTTAAACAGTACGCTTGGAATTTTATCCGCATTGTGGTCAGCCAAACAACAGACAGTGTGTGTGTAGCTTCTTCGGCTAACTTGGACTTGTGCTGGTCGTCTCGTCATATTCCTTCTGGCTCCAATGTTATATGGCGCAAAGAGCCTTGCTACCTCCGCTGCAACACAGAAAAACGTAACAGCTCAATGGTCACCAGTCAGCTAAAACAGCCTCTACTTCTATCTTGGGATGCTCAAGCCAGCTAACACCATTTAGCCGATTAGCGAACTAGCTAGGTTTATGCTTCCCCCCCCATTAACAATAAACGTGTCACGCACGAAGCATCATAATACCGCATGCAAATACATGTTCGAGTCGATCTAATTTAACCTACACGTGTGTCCCGAATCATTAAATAGTAGCACACCTGGCTAACATGAAATTACTTAGCTTACCTTGGACAGGTGTACGTGATTGAGCGGCCGGTATCTGCTGTGACTGAGCTGCCGGAGTCACCGGTGCCGCGGGAGCCGTTGGACTTCTGCTCAGAGCTTCCTCAATCAAATTCGCTGCTTCTCTCAGCAGCTCCGGGCAACTTTTAGACATTTTGTCCTGCACCTCACACAGCGTCTCAACATTGGGGCTAGCAGGACCGAGTCTTCTCTTGATTTTTAGCCGTTGCAATGAAAGTTCGAGGTGAATAGCGCCATCCAGTGTATTGGAATGTGTTCAGTAGCTCTGCATCAATCCATTATCCGGAATTGATTTGTCTTGGCTTGATGCAGAGGGTAACAAATCAGGCGTTAGGTTCCGCCTACCAACTTTTGATGGGTCAGTTTGACAGTTTTAAGTAATTCAGGAAGCACTCCAACGCAGGACCATGAAATGTAAATGTAAATAGTGAAATTATTATATATGTATTTTACATAAAATGAATCGGTATTTGAATTAATTAATGACACATTTAATAACACATTTATGTATTTAATTCTAATTTGAATTAATTAATGACACATTTAAGTAATTATTTAATGGTGTATTTATTTATTTAATTGTGGCACTTTTAGTCCTCCATATAATCCGGCCCGCGAGATGATTAAAAAAATAAATAATAATAATAATAATAATAATAATAATAATTTTGTAAAGTATAAAAATGCGCTGCAATTTTTCAATAAAATAAACTGCTGTTCCAATTGCGTCCACTGGATGGCGCAATAGCAATTGTGTTAAGCAAGCAAACTGTTTATACCGGGGCAGAGCAAGTAGGTCAAGCACGTGCAGCCAATGAGCTACTTTGTTTTGCCCGCGATATTTATTACGGCTTCTACTTTTAACATTATGTGCTTTGGCACCCTCATTGCCCCAATATGTCTCTCAAAAAAGAGAAAAGTGGACGCAGAGTGCAGAGTGTTCCAAGAAAAATGGTCATCCTATTTATTCACGGAATTGAATGGGAAAGCTGTATGTTTGGTGTGTTCAGAGCATGTTGCAGTGCTGAAAGAATATAACCTTCGTCGCCACTATGTGAGTCTTCATGCCGACAAATATGACAACTTTCAAGGACAGCGGAGATGAGAGAAGGTGAATGAACTGTTGGCGGGTCTGAAGAAACAGCAGTCTGTGTTTACTCACAGCCGAGACATCAGTGACGCTGCAGTGAATGCTAGCTACCTCATTGCTAATGAAATCGCAGTGGCTTCAAAACCATTTAGTGAGGGTGAATTTGTAAAAACATGCATGATGAAGGCAGCGGAGATTGTGTGCCCTGAAAAGCGGCAGGCTTTTGCAAATATCAGCCTGACAAGAAACACAGTTGCAGACAGGATTTCCGATCTTTCAGTGGATTTGGACAGCCAGTTGAAGCAAAAAGTAAAGTCATTTATTGCGTTTTCGGTTGCAATTGATGAAAGCACGGACATTACAGATGTTGCACAACTGGCCATTTTCATCCGCGGAGTTGATGACACATTGACCGTCACCGAGGAGTTCGTGGAGTTGGTGCCGATGACAGATACAACGACAGCAGCTGATATTTTTACCGCACTCGTCAGCGCGCTGGACAGGGTCGGAGTGGACTGGTCCCGCGCTGTCAGCCTGGCTACAGATGGTGCACCCTCAATGATCGGGAAAAAAGCAGGCGTTGTGACAAAGTTCCGAGAGAAAGTGCAATCTGCAAATGGAGGACGTGATTTGTTGACTTTTCACTGTATTTTGCACCAGGAGGCTTTGTGTTGCAAGTCATTAAAGATGGATAACGTCATGAAGGTGGTCATCCAAACTGTTAATTTCATCCGATCCAGAAGCCTGAATCACCGTCAGTTTGACAGCCTTCTCAGAGAGAAAGACCACATCTATGGCCTGCCATACCACACTGAGGTAAGATGGTTAAGCCGAGGTGCTGTGCTGAGGCGTTTCTTTGATTTACGAGAAGAAATTGAACAGTTCATGGAAGAAAAGGGCAAACCAGTGTTAGAATTTCATTCCGCAGAATGGATGCAGGACCTTGCATTTATGGTGGATGTTACAGAGCACCTGAATAACTTGAACAAACAGCTGCAAGGGTGCAACAAAGTTGTCAAGCAGTATTATGACAGCATACGTTCTTTCAAGTTGAAGCTGTCATTGTGGGAGACGCAACTTGCCGGTGGTGATGCAGCTCACTTCCCCTGTCTGAAAAATGTGTGCGCGACCCAACATGTGGCAGACATGAAGCGGTTCAAAGATAAAATAACGGGACTGTTACGGGAGTTTGAGCAACGCTTTCAGATTTATGTTTATATGTTTTTATGTTGATGTGCTATTGTTTTTAATTGTTTTTATTTTATTTGTATATTTAACCTATTCTTGACTCTGTGGTTCTTGCACTTGTTTGGGGAACAGGATTTCATTATTTTTATCTACATTTCTGCCTGAGAAATGACACCCTGATATAGTTCTGTGATCTGTGATATACTTCTGTGAATCACTGAGGCATTGTGTGTTTGTGTGTTCTTTGTCCTCAGAACTTTCAAATAACTTGAGGTGTTTTATGATTAATAGTGATGTTGTGCTTTTGGACACTGTCCTCAGGCTTCAGCTTTATGTTTATATGTTTTTATGTTGATGTGCTATTGTTTTTAATAGTTTTTATTTTATTTGTATATTTAACCTATTCTTGACTCTGTGGTTCTTGCACTTGTTTGGGGAACAGGATTTCATTATTTTTATCTACATTTCTGCCTGAGAAATGACACCCTGATATAGTTCTGTGATCTGTGATATACTTCTGTGAATCACTGAGGCATTGTGTGTTTGTGTGTTCTTTGTCCTCAGAACTTTCAAATAACTTGAGGTGTTTTATGATTAATAGTGATGTTGTGCTTTTGGACACTGTCCTCAGGCTCCAGCTTTATGTTTATATGTTTTTATGTTGATGTGCTATTGTTTTTAATTGATTTTATTTTATTTGTATATTTAACCTATTCTTGACTCTGTGGTTCTTGCACTTGTTTGGGGAACAGGATTTCATTATTTTTATCTACATTTCTGCCTGAGAAATGACACCCTGATATAGTTCTGTGATCTGTGAAACAGTTCTGTTAATCACTGAGGCATTGTGTGTTTGTGTGTTCTTTTTCTTTAGAATTTTCAAATAAACTTGAGGTGTTTTATGATTAATAGTGATGTTGTGCTTGTACTATTTTGGACACACTGTCCTCAGGCTCCAGCTTTATGTTGTATGTTGATCGTATTAAAACAAAGAAAACAATCTGAAGTTGTTGTTTTTAAGTTATATATACCATGATTTTTCCGGTCCGGCCCACTTGGGAATAGATTTTCCTCCATGTGGCCCCTGAGCTAAAATGAGTTTGACACCCCTGATTTAAATACTGTATTCTCCACATAGCTCATTCTAATATTTCTACCACTGTACATTGTATTTTATTTACACTGTTTGTACACACCTCATATTTATTTATATACTGGATTCTTCACATAGCTCGCTGTAATATATCTGCTGCTGTACATATCATTCTTAGTATATATTGTGTGAACTCATCCGGTGTAGATACGTATAGATTGCATTTGGATTACTAAAACGGTGCTATTTGTGTTGTTCATTGGATTTGTTTACGACATTTCTTGATTTCTTGATCATGATCTTCTTGATTATTTATGTACTTTGTTTGACATTTGACTGCATTGTTAAGAGCTAGTAACGTAAGGCATTTCGCTGCAACCGCTATAACATCTGCTAAACTGTGTACGTGACCAATAAACTTTTATTTGATTTGAAATACAGAGACATACCACCTCAGCTGTTGACTTTTATTGAGCCTTCCTGATAACTGCTTAGGGGACTCTGGTCGTTTCTCTAACTCTATTACTAGTGATTGTGTGTGTGTGTGTGTGTGTGTGTGTGTGTGTGTGTGTGTGTGTGTGTGTGTGTGTGTGTGTGTGTGTGTGTGTGTGTGTGTGTGTGTGTGTGTGTGTGTGTGTGTGTGTCCTCTGACTTCTCTCCCTTCACACTGTGTGTAACTCACCAGTAGCTTATTGGTATCAGTGTAACCCTTCTGTCAGTACATTATCATAGCTTCACCAGTAGCTTATTGGTATCAGTGTAACCCTTCTGTCAGTACATTATCATTGCTTCTTGGTATCAGCTCCATTTCCCAACACACACTTCCTCTTACAGAACACGCTCCTCTCCTGCTCTCTGAGGTGACTAGGCCTCACCCCTTACCCCTCAGCTCACTATCGGATTCCCCATCCCTCCATCCGGCCAGCGGTTGGTTGGTTGGTTGGTTGCCGTGGCCGACCGACGCTGTGTCCCTGTATGTCAGTCAGGGAATGACGAGGTCTGTCGAGGAGCACCGCTAATCAGCAACATTCCAGAACTCTCCGGAAGATGGGAAACAAACATTCTCTCTGTCGTTCCTTCCTGTAGTTTAATGACGCTGCTCTGTTGGAGGAGGCCCCCCCCCTTTAACAGATCTCTGACTAACAGTCTTCCTCCTCCCGCCCTTCAGCTGTGGGTCCACCGCTACAGTCCCTCTTTCAAACAGACAACTCATTACCACATTAAGGCTTTATGAAGGCTTTTATAAAGGGCACTACATATGTGCTTCACAAATCATTATAAGCCAAGTCGTAGCTTACATGGGTGATCTAAAGGCTCCTTACATCTGGTATTTTGCCATGGCAACAAGACTTTTACATCTAGGCTGTATTTCCATACATCTATTTACTTTGACTGGATGTCTGAAGAATCAATGCTTGATGTTGCAACACTGTCAAACCACTCTCCATGTTACAGCACGTTGTGGTTCATGGCCCTTTGAGCTGCTAATATATTGGTCACAGGAAGTGAGCTTGTACATCCTATTGTGTTTACCTAGCTGTTGCTTAGGAAATTGGGTGATTGCGTGGTTGCCTGGTAATTACAGAGTAATAGATTCATAGCCGGGTTGGTTGGTAGCTGTGTTAACTGGTTACACCGGGCTCACACAGTGCTTCTTGTTATGATACTCAAATATAGTCTATTCCTGTCACGATCGTTGAGAGATGGGTCAGACCAAGGTGCAGCTTGGTGTGCGTACATGTTTATTAAGACGAATAAACACTTGACAAAATAACGAAAACGTGAAGCTCAAACAGTGGCAACCCACAACAAGCCAAACATGAGTCAAGATCCCACAACTAAGGTAGGCAACCAGGCTACCTAAGTATGATCCCCAATCAGAGACAACAAGCGACAGCTGCCTCTGATTGGGAATCACACCCGGCCAAACCTAGACATACACATACTAGATCTACAACATAGAAATACAGTCACATAGATCTCAACAGAAACTCACACCCTGACCCAACCAACAAGAGTTCTCTAGATCAGGGCGTGACAGTACCCCCCCCCCCCAAAGGTGCGTACTCCGGCCGCACCAACCTGACTCATTAGGGGAGGTCGGGTGGGCATCCAGCCTCGGAGGCCGGCTCTCGGCTCGGGCGTGACGACCTCTCCCTCTCTGCCTCCCGTTTGCACCCCTGGTCTGTCTGGTCCTGGCGCGATGCTTCCCCTCTCTTCCTCCCACGATCACCAAGCCCTGTCTGGGACCCTGGTGTGGAGACCCCGACCCTGAGAGGGGCTGATGTCTGGGCCGGGTGGAGCCGCTGACCGGAGCTGAACTTAGGCACCGGTGGAGCGGACTGCCCTGGCTCCGGAGTGGAACCCGCTACCGGAGCTGGACTGGGAACCGCATCACTGGTTTGCGGCATCATTTCGCACGACACGTGCGGGCTCTGGCACAGGAGCAACTGGGCTGTGATGCGCATGGCGACCCAGTGTGTACTCGCAATGGGTTTCCATCCAATGAACCACACGCTCATTTTGTTGCCCTGACCAGATCCTCTCTCCGTGCCTCCACTACATCCGTCTCCATACGGGCCATCCTGCAGCGCTTCCTCTTGAAGGAGCTCCCTGCTCTATTCTCCCTACCAGCCCCCGTAATGGGGTGGCCTCCTCTTTTAAACTGCAGATCCGCAGGTCTTGGAGCACCTCTAAAATAGGGGCCTCCTCTTTTAAACTGCAGATCCGCAGGTCTTGGAGCACCTCTAAAATAGGGGCCTCCTCTTTTAAACTGCAGATCCGCAGGTCTTGGAGCACCTCTAAAATAGGGGCCTCCTCTTTTAAACTGCAGATCCGCAGGTCTTGGAGCACCTCTAAAATAGGGGCCTCCTCTCTTAAACTGCAGATCCGCAGGTCTTGGAGCACCTCTAAAATAGGGCCTCCTCTTTTCTTTTAAAACTGCAGATCGCAGGTCTTGGAGCACCTCTTAAAATAGGGGCCTCCTCTTTTAAATCGGCAGATCCGCAGTCTTGGAGCACCTCTAAATAGGGGCACTCTCTTTTAAACTGCAGACGCAGGTATTGCGAGCCACACCTCTAAACATAGGGGCATCCTCTATTAAACTGCAGATCGGCACGGTCTTGGAGCACTATAAAATAGGGCCTCCTCTTTTAACTCCAGATCCGCAGGTCGTGGAGCACCTCTAAAATAGGCGGCTCCTCTCTTAACTGCGATCCGCAGGTCTTGAGAACCTCTAAAATTAGGGGCCTCTCTTCTTAAACTGAAGATCCGCAGGGCTTGGGAGACACGCTCTAAAAATAGGGGCTCTCTCTAAACGCAGATCCGCAGGTCTTGGAGCACATCTAAAAAAGTGCAGGGGCCTACTCTCTTAAAAATGCCAAGATCCGCAGGTTTTGAGCACCTTAAATAGAGGCCATCCTCCTCTACAGTCAGCCCTTTCACGGCCTCCTGCTGCCTCGTCGTCCACCCCGTGGGGCTGCTTCTCGGGCTTTCTTCGTGACCGAGTCCTTTTAAGTCGCCGTTTCTCCTCCCTCGTTGCCTCTGTCTGCTCCCAAGGAAGGCGATCCATCCCAGCCTGGATCTCATCCCATGTCCATGATCCCTTACCATTTAATATCTCCTCCCATGTCCATGATTTCTGCTCCTCCTGGGCACGCTGCTTGGTCCTTGTTTGGTGGGATCTTCTGTCACGGTCGTTGAGAGACGGGTCAGACCAAGGTGCAGCGTGGTATGCGTACATGTTTATTAAGACGAATAAACACTTGACAAAATAACAAAACAACCAAACGTGAAGCTCAAACAGTGGCTACACACAACAAGCCAAACACGAGTCAAGATCCCACAACTAAGGTAGGCAACCAGACTACCTAAGTATGATCCCCAATCAGAGACAACGAGCGACAGCTGCCTCTGATTGGGAATCACACCCGGCCAAACCTAGACATACACATACTAGATCTCCAACATAGAATATAATCACATAGATCTCAAACTGAAACTCACACCCTGACCCCAACCAACAAGAGTTCTCTAGATCAGGGCGTGACAATTCCACAGGATTTAACTTGTTGATTACTCCCTATACTGGCTGTCCCAAATGGTACCCTATTGCCTATAGTGGACTGCTTTTGACAGTGGTCAAGTGGGCATGTGTCAGTAAGTAATGATTGAAGAAGCACTCCCTCACAGAAACAGATGGCGCCAAGACCTCGTTCACAAAGATGTCACACACTAGGGCAACACCCTTCCTCTTCCTCTTCAACAGTCTAGAAACTTCTCCAGAAAACACCACTCTCCTTCCCTTACCCCTTTCTTCTCCTTAGGAACCCTTAACTGTCAGGGGGGGAAGGGATGTGTCAAAAGTAGTGCGCTTAATAGGGAATAGGGTGCCATTTGGGACAGCCTAAGAGTTGATGATGCGGGACAAATGTTATGAAGACAAGAAAGAAGACAGAGAGCTCAGCTAGGCTCCTCCCCCAGAAGGAAGACAGAGAGCTCAGCTAGGCTCCGCCCCAGAAGGAAGACAGAGAGCTCAGCTAGGCTCCGCCCCAGAAGGAAGACAGAGAGCTCAGCTAGGCTCCGCCCCAGAAGGAAGACAGAGAGCTCAGCTAGGCTCCGCCCCAGAAGGAAGACAGAGAGCTCAGCTAGGCTCCGCCCCAGAAGGAAGACAGAGAGCTCAGCTAGGCTCCGCCCCAGAAGGAAGACAGAGAGCTCAGCTAGGCTCCTCCCCCAGAAGGAAGACAGAGAGCTCAGCTAGGCTCCTCCCCCAGAAGGAAGACAGAGAGCTCAGCTAGGCTCCTCCCCCAGAAGGAAGACAGAGAGCTCAGCTAGGCTCCGCCCCAGAAGGAAGACAGAGAGCTCAGCTAGGCTCCTCCCCCCAGAAGGAAGACAGAGAGCTCAGCTAGGCTCCTCCCCCAGAAGGAAGACGTTAATAAGAATAGAAAATGCCCCCATGAGTTTCCAGCGGTCCTCAAAGACACCATGACAAGAGTTCCTGGTGTATCTTTCCTGTTGAGGAGGAGGAGAGAGCTATGGTGATATTCCACTTGATTAGCACAAATGATACAGCTCTAGGCTGGTCCCAGATCTGTTTGTGGCGTATAGCCAACTCCTATGGTCATTGTCAACCCTATCTTACATTTTTAGTTTGTTGTATCAATATTTTCTATTTGGTTTCCTGTATGATAATCCTCTATATGTGTCCACAGTTCCTGATTGTATAGCAGAGCAATAGAACGTTTATAGATCATTTACCCTAGACAGACATGCTACCCTCTGCATGTTTCAGCATGCGCTGACAGAGAGGTATTCGGAGATCCTGAGGCTTGGAGCCTTTTACATTTTACATTTTTAGTCGCTCTTATCCAGAGCGACTTACAGGAGCAATTAGGGTTAAGTGCCTTGCTCAATGGCACATCGACAGATTTTTCACCTAGTCGGCTCGGGGATTAGAACCAGCGACCTTTCGGTTACTGGCACAACACTCTTACCCACTAAGCTACCTGCCGCCCGCCTGTATTCAACAGAAACTGCCTGGATAGCAGGGGGGTTCTGGACGATCAGCTGTAGGGGGTTGAGTAGTGGCTGCCAGGTCCTTGGAATTTGTTATCCTGCAGGAAGCACAACCCTGGTCTGAACGCCGAACTCGCTGACCGCCACTCATTCCTTGCCATGCTCTTCTCATACACACTTTTGGACTGGCTAATCCAATACTTCCAGCGCTCGATGCCAGTATAAATTAAGCTGGCTCTGTGAGTGGTGGATGTGATGTAATGGTGGTCAAGGGAGCGGGGGTAAGCGATGCGGGAACATTGAGCAATGGGGAAAGGGGCGTGCTAACAGGAGAGAACAGAGGAGATAAGAGATGCGAGCAGGAGAGAGGAGATGGAGATGAGATGAGGAGGATAGAGTGGCTACGAGAGAGAGGGACGTAGGAGTAGGAGAGAAGGATGATATATAAAGTGATATCATAGCTATCATATATATCATATATTATCAGTATGCAAAATTATATCATCTCCATCTATATGTATAATAGAGTATAGGATAGGATATAGTGATCAGATAATATTGCTTATATATATAATATAGAATTATGATAGATATAAGAGATAGAAATGACATCATAAGCTTCTCCGACATAGGGGCAGGCCAGTGCATTTGCGTTATCAATAGAGTATCATCTTGCTTATATAAGACGAATCTTCGTCTGCATGTTGCCCCTTTCATAGCTAGATCTCTAATAGTCTTTCAGATCGGTCCGTCCACTAATGTGCCCTAAGTGGTCCGTCCCCACCAGAGTTCGTCATGCCGACATTAGCGTCCCCTACTCGCTGCTACTACACCCCCCACGTTGCGCCCTTCCCGTACTCGGTGCCGCGTAACGTAGGGGAGACATACATTGATCCTTTTGTATTACTCCCCCCGTTGTGTAACATTGCGACCCAAGAGCTATCCCCCCTTCCCTTTCCACGTTGTTTTTTACCCGACCTTACTGAGCCTTTTGGATTTACATAGCAATCAGATTTAAGGTTTGGCCACAGTGTTGGTGATTAACCGGAAATCGACCAAGCGTTTATGGCCGCTACTTTGATATCTTTTTTGTTTTCTTTTTCCCTGGTGCACCAATACTTGTCCGCGTTTTTCTACCCCCGTTTCCAGTGGGCACGCCAAATCTTTTTTTTTTTTCCCTGAACCCCAGTTTAAACTTTTGCCCATGGTCCTCGGGGACAATTGCATCGGCGCCCCCCCCGTTGCCCTTCTATTGCAAGATCGTGGCAGTAAAGCGTATCGCGCTAATACTGGGGAATTACGTCCCCCCTTAATCACCATCCTTGCCTTTCTCCGTGAGTTCAGTGCCGGAGCCTTCCCCCTATGTTACTTGTCTTAGTGTTGTAGTTGTCCTTCCCCGCTCTTGGCCTATACCCCAATTATACTCGTATACAGCTCGCTTGATCTATCCCCCCCCCCCCCGCGTATTTTACTTTCGATATCGAGAGTCTTGATTGCTGTCTTAAGTATGTCACTGTGTGCTAATGGGATCGGCAGTTTCACCGCACGACGTATTTGCATGCTGTTTGCGTCGCTTGTGTTGCGCTTAAGGTTCCTTTTCTTTTCTTTTTTTCCCTTCTCCACCGCTAAGTGTATCACCCCCCTATTGGATAACCCAGCGCTTTTCCCGTCTTAAGACCGGTTCGGTCCCTTGGCAGTCTCTTCCCACTTCTGATCCGCTGTCGTTTTTTTGTACATTCACCCCTTTCTTCCCCTCTTTTGCTTCTCTTTTTTTCCTCGCCGCCGGCTCTTTTTTTTCCCGCTTTCGTTTACCGTCGAGACCACACGTCTTGAATTCGATTCCCTCTATGATACTTTCGCCTTGCAGGTTTGTCCTCGTTATTTATTTGATCGTAGCCCCTCCACCATTTGCCCCCTCTCTCTTCCGGACCTAACCCCTAATGCTCCCCAATCTTTTTTTATGGTCACAGTTTTCACACTCTTCTCCCCCCGCCGCGCCCGAATCACATCTCCGGCCCTTACCTTTTTTTTCCACCGTTAGTCCCGTTTTTCTAATTAGGCACCTATTGTTTTTTCCTTTTTTCTGTTTACGCGTTCTTTTTCCCAACTATCCCTTTTAGATTTAATTATTTCCTGACGTACGACAGAATATATGAACTTTTATAGTCTTGACCCCCTCCTTAGCCCGTGTTTGTTGTTAACTCACTTACCAAATATCTTTCTTCTTTAATGTTAGAGCGCAGACTGAATGCATAGCACCCCCCCCCGAAGGGAACCGCTATTCGAGGCCCAGAAGCTATACGGCCCCCTGCCACGTAGGAAATGTTCTCCCACCATTCTTTCTATGTCCCTTGCCTCTTCCTCTAGCGTCCCTGGCCCCCCGTACGGCTACAGCCATCGGCAGAACACAATGATAATTCCTCTAAACCTAATTAGGACCCACGTTGTCAAAAAAGGCTACTTAAACGGTCTTTTTTGATTTAGGCGCTATGGGTTGGGCTTAGCAGATTGGGTGTTTCCACGGCATTCTGTTGAGATGAGGATCGCTTCGTACCACACAGAACGTTTTTTTAATTCCCATGTTGTGCTATTCTCCCCTCTATTTGTTTCTTTCTCGTTCCAGCTTCTTGCTGGACACCACACATTTCTCCTTTCTTCCATCGTCTTGGTTGTGGTTTTTTAGTTTTCATAGCTTGTTATTACAGCACACGCTCTTCTTCAATCGTGACGTTGACATGACCTGTGAAACGCACGGCTGTTCAAATGGTACTGTGTTGGGGGAAAACAGTGGGCATGTACTGTATGTCACGGTAATCTAGCGTGGTAATTGAATTTGGCTAAACTACACTTGTGGTTTGCTTTAGGTGGGCGTCTATGGTGGTGCTCCGCGTAGCGACAGGGTTAGCTTACTAGCTATCGGAGCACTGCAGCAATTGGCACTTCGCATGTCACATTACTGGGGCACTTCAGAAAGATTTAGATAACAGCTGTTTCACCAAAGTTCCTCCTCTCACCACCAACCCTCCCAACTCGCACACCAGCGCCCGTGCCGACCCCAGGCGCGACCACGCGCACCCCATGCCCCCCGTACGCACATCAAGCAGCCCGCGCAACCCAGCGCCCGCCCGAAGCCCCAGACCGCCCGCCTCCCCCCAAAACAGCCCCCTCCACCCCCAGCCTCCGGCACCACCAGCCCCCCGCTCGCCCACACCAACCTACCACACGCGACAACAAGCCACCCGCCGCCACCCCCAAAAGACCCCACGTATCACACCATACCGCAACCCCGCGAACACCAATACATACGCGAACACACCCCCACCCTCCCCCCTCTCACCCCACCCATGCCCCCATCTGCATCACGTCCCAGCAGCACGCCCCTACCTCCACCCACATCCCTTACCCATACCAACACAAAACTCCCTCCTCACCCCATCCTCCCCCCCTCACCCCATCCACGGAAAGTAGTAGCGTCATTTTTTTTTTTTTTTTTTTTTTTTTCTGGCTACACCTGTGCTTACCCTAAAGAGTTGCTGCGTTGAGGGCTAATGTAAACCTCCATAGCAAAACAGTGTGTTTAATCAATTATTTGGTGAAGTGAATATATTTAGGAACGTGTTATTTCTAAAAAAGGATACCTTTTTATTTGTCACAATATTTAGCGTTTTATACATTAATGGAGGAGGAGGGCCTCCTGAGGAGCCTCCACTGACTTGATGGGTAGGCTTCCTTAGTGCAATTGTATATAAAGCTTCTACTGTTAGCACTAGAGATCAGGTTTCGCATGAGGCTATGTGTAGCCGCCGCGAACGGGAGACCATGGGGGGGCAGGCGCACATTGAGCCAGGGTAGGGGAGGGAATGGCCGGCAGGATGGAGAGCATGGGTTTGCAAACACCAAGGGTTGTGCGGTTCGATTCCAAGGTGGGCCAGTTTGCAAAAAAAATAATGAGTCGCTCTGGATAAGAGCGTATGCTCAACTGAGTAAATGTGAGTCAGTCATTATATTATCGGGGTGAAGTATTATTGCTTAAATTCTACACAGGTCTAGTCCATCTACTGCAATAGCTGAGCACAGTCGAGTGGTGCTCGTCTCAAACCGAGGCTGCAACGTCATGAGAAAACGCAAAACCTCACCCAGAGAGAAGCGACAGACGGAGCGACTAGAGGTGCCAACAGATTGGAGCTACGGAGGATAACTGTAAGTAATGTATCTACACGCATTTCTAATCGCTGCGATTTTGTTACTATCTGTGCCATGCGCCGCGTTTTTCCCGCAC